ACTGCTAGTATACTTCAAAAGTGTCAAGGTCATGAAAGACAAAGACTGAGAAACTATCTCAGGTTGGAGGAGACTAAGGAGGAGTAAATGCAATGTGAAGTGAAAACCTGAACCAAAAGAAGAACGTAAGTGGGAAAGGAAAACTGCCGAAATTTGAATATACAGATTAGTTATTATTATTATATCAGGGTTCATTTCCTGGTTTTGGTTATTATAAACTGTACTATAGTTAGGTTTTTAAAGAAAAATTTTTAAAGATTTTACTTATTTATTTGAGACAGAGAAAGAGAGAGAAAGCACAAGCAGGGAGGAAGGTTAGAGGGAGAGGGAGAAGCAGACTCCCTGCTGAGCAGGGAGGCCGATGAGGGTGCTCGATCCCAGGACCCTGAGATCATGAGCTGAGCTTTAACCGACTGAACCACCCAGGCACCCCAAGAAATTTTATTTATTTATTTGAGAGAGAGAGAATGAGAGAGAGAGCGCACATGACGGGGGGAGGGTCAGAGGGCGAAGCAGACTCCCTACCAAGCAGGGAGCCCGATGTGGGACTTGATCCAGAGACTCCAGGATCATGACCTGAGCCGAAGGCAGTCACTTAACCAACTGAGCCACCCAGGCGCCCAAGAAATTTCTTTTTACTTATTTATTTACTTATTTGACAGAGAGACACAACACAGAAAGAAAGGGAACACAAGCAGGGGGAGTGGGAGAGGGAGAAGCAGGCTTCCCGTGGAGCAGGGAGCCCGATGCGGGGCTCGATCCCAGGACCCTGGGCTCATGACCCGAGCTGAAGGCAGACGCTTAAGGACTGAGCCACCCAGGCGCCCCAAGAAATTTAATACAATGCTCATTGATGCTTGATGACTGGCTTAAGTGAAGACTTTGATTTTAGTACAAGTCACTTTATCAACAATACGCATGAAACAGCACTCTCCTTAAAATCTAAAATCAGTTACTGAGATTCACTTAAGGAGCTCGGGGGCAGTATTAAAGGGGCCAGGTTCTCACAGGCCCTTATCCGTCTCTGCACGTTGGCTGGCACTGTCACACAGCAGCCTCCCGTCTGCCAGGGCACAGACCACAGCACAACATCTGCCACCAGGAGTTCAGTCCCAACAAGTCAGGATGCTCTTTCCAAGAGCAGAGTTCACAGAGTCAAACACAGTGGCTTCTTCTTTACTGCTTCCCTGTTCTGTTCTGTAAATTTTAAGATTTATTTATTTGAGAGAGCGCATGGCATGAGCAGGGGGAGGGGCAGAGGGAGATAGAGAGAGAATCTCAAGCAGACTCCCTGCAGGGCATGGATCCTGGACATGGGGCTCGATCTCAGGACCCTGAGATCATGACCTGAGCTGAAACCAAGAGTCAGATGCTTAACCAACTGAGCCAACCCAGGAGTCCCTACCTACTGCTTACCTCTTTTAACTGAAAAATAGCTATTTCTACCCAGGTATCTACAACGGTTAAATTTACAGCATTATGCTTTTGGCCAAACAGAAGAAAAAGTGTGCAATGTTCCTTTCTCCTTTGAAGACAGACATGATTTGGCCACTGAACTTCATCTGAATCTTTGGCACCTTCTTCCACATTAGATTAAAACCCAGCTGATATTCATGACAGGGCTGTTTTTTAGTCGGCTCGCCAAAGCACTTAAGAAGGCTTTCTGGCACACTGTTGACTGCTGAATGCATGAGAACAGTGGACAGGACCCTGTAGTGGTAACAGAGCAGCTGGGACAGCACAAGAGGCAGGGGAGGTGGGGTCTGTGTTAATCATGATCTTTCAGTGCCCTTGTCTTTCAATGCCCCATAATCTTTTTCAAGCACTAAATTTAAGTCCCAGGCATTGGCTGATAAAGCAGTAGGCTCATCAGCTTGGATTATGCTGGTTACATCCAAGTTCACATCTAGTATCTCAATCATTTTGGAGCAACCATTAACTGCAGCTTTCAATTCATACAGACATTTTTAAATATCTTGGTGGGACTCAAGAGCTTGAAGAGATGGGTCAGACTTCCTGCACATGGTCTACAACCAGGTAAGGAAAGATGCATCACTTTATGATAGGGCTTTACCTGGTACACCGGCATCACGGGAGCATTAGAGGAAGCTGGGTATACAGGAACTCTAATTTTTTTTTTGCAATTTTTCTATAATTTTAAATTTATTTCAAAATAAAAAAACAAAAGCCTTGTGCTGTTGGGTTTTCATATATATGAACTGGACCAATAATAGCTTCCATTTTCTTTGAATAAATTGGGCTTCATTTGACTTAATAAGAAAGGATCAAATTTTGGTTTAACTGTATATTTGAGAACATACACTTATTTTTCCTAGTAAAAATGTAGCCCGAGGAAAGAAAATAGATACTAATGATTTGCTATGGTTTTTAAAGACTTCTGTTCCCCAGTCTGAGAGAAAGTTGCAGGGAAAAACTGAACCAATGCTAGGGACAATCCTTCCCTGAAAGGCACCTTGAGATTCAAACTTGTCCCAGTTCTGGTGGTTGTGATTTAGAAAACATTTCTCTGGAGCCAGGGCTCAACTTCCTTTTAAGAGATTTTTTTTTTTTTCCTTAGCATGACTCCATGAGCTAACAGGGCTTATAGTTCTCTATCTGGTTTTGGCATATTTATAGCAGAAGATTTGGCCATGAATGTGTTGAGTGTGGAAGAGTAGGCGGCTGAAGCTGCATTTATAAAGCATTTGTAACTGTTGTTCTTAGCCACTTAGAGACAGCAATGTGTTTGATTCTGGCTTCTCTCTCCTTTTACAGGCTTAGAATATTCCTTCAAATTCAATATTCTTCTGGTTCTGTTTTGAAAACAGTAGCAAATAGACCATCGAGTTCAAAATTACACAATGGACTTGAATATACATTTCTCCAGAGAGATACACAGATGGCCAACAGCACATCAATATCATTAATCATTAAGAAAATGCAAATCAAAACCACAATCAGATACCACTCATACCCACTAGGATGGCTATAATAATTTTTTAAAAAAGAGGAAAGTACATGTTGGCAAGATGTGGAGAAACAGGAACATTCCCAGTAAGAATATCAAATGGTGTAGCCACTACAGGAAACAGTTTGGTGGTTCCTCAAAAAGTTAAACAGGATTACCATACGATCCAGCAATTCCAATCCTAGCTATGTACCCAAAAGAACTGAAAACAGGATCTTTAAAACAAAAACAAAAAAACTCTCTTTCTCCCTCTCTCAAAACAAATAAAGTCTTAAAAAAAAAGAAGAAAAAAAAAAAACAAAAAAACTCTCTTTCTCCCTCTCTCAAAACAAATAAAGTCTTAAAAAAAAAGAAGAATTGAAAACAGGGACTCAAACAGATGCTTATAAGCTAATATTCACAGAAGCATTATTCACAATAGCCCAAAGTGGGAACAACCCATGTGTCCATCACAGATGAATGGATAAACAAAATGTGATACATATTCCCAGTGGAATAGTATTCAGCCATAAAAAGAAATGAAGTTCTGATACAGGCTACAGAATGGGTGAATCCTGGAAACATTATGCTAAGGGAAATAAGCCAGACACAAAGGGACGAGAATGACATGATTCCACTTATATGAAATGTCTACGATAGGCCTATTTGTAGAGACAAAGTAGGTTAGAGGTTACCTGGGGTTCAGGTGAGGGAGAAAGGGGGAGTTATTATTTAATGGGTACAGATTTTTTCTTTGAGGTGATGAGAAAGTTCTGGAAATAGATAATGATAATCGTATACAACATTGTGAATGTACTTAGTGTCACTAAATTATCATTTTAAAATGGTAAACGTTAGGGACGCCTGGGTGGCTCAGTCGGTTAAGCGTCTGCCTTCAGCTCAGGTCATGATCCCAGGATCCTGGGATCGAGTCCCGCATCGGGCTCCCTGCTCTGCGGGGAGCCTGCTTCTCCCTCTGCCTCTGCCTCTCTCTCTCTATCTCTCATGAATAAATAAAATCTTTAAAAAAAAAAAAATGGTAAACTTTATGTGTATGTTGCCACAATAAAAAAAGAGTTAAGGAAACAAAAAATACTGATATGGATTGGTTTTTCAAAATTGAGGATCCCTTAAGCAAAGGATGGTGTAAACATGACTAAATGCATAACAGCTTTGGGAAATTAAAAAGCAGAACACCTCCCCCCCGCCCAAATTTAACTTACACATGGTAGGCAATCATGAAAATGTATAAACACAGTGACAAAAATCAGAGTTTAAAATAATGGATGAACATTATTAGGGCGCCTGGGTGGCTCAGCTGGTTAAGCGTCTGACTCTTGGTTTCAGCTCAGGTCATGATCTCAAGGTCCTGAGATTAAGCCCCATGTGGGGCTCCAGGCTCAGCATGGAGTCTGCTTGTCCCTCTTCCTCTGCTCCTCCCCTGCCCCCTGCACTCTCTCTCTCACAAATAAAAATAAAATCTTAAAAAAATAAATAAATAAATAAAGTGACTTAATTCTGGTATATATTCATGGGCTTCTATTCTATAAAGTCAATTTACATTTTCAAACATTATTTTTCCTTTAAAAGTTAGGACTTCCATGCATCCCCAGTCACTGTGCAAATTCCTTACCATCAATTCAATCCCCCAGCACATACAGACACAGGCTCCATACAGCCTCCTTGCCAGCTGTCTCACCGCCTCGACCTGGAAAGCATCCAATCCTTCCTCCCCTGGGACCAGAGAAGTACTTCTCTGCTAGACCATCCCAGCAAACAGGGCAAACCACCTTGCTAACAGCATGCTCTTCACAAATAGGACTTAATGCTGTGAATTCTTCTCGGGTTTACCTATCAGTGAATTCAGATTTTTAAGATCTAAAGACCTTGCTGGTACTTTCGGCCTCAAATTTTGCTTAACAAAGTGACTTCGCTGCTTTGAGACAACAGAGACCCACAATCATATCACATGGCCAACAAAACAAGGAAAACTGAGCTGAGGGCCTGCAAAAGCCCAAGGCTGCTGCTCTCTCGGAACTGGCCAGTGACTGACCTTTATACTCCGGGGTGAACTCCTTCATTTCGGGAGGAAGGGATTCGTAGAAGCGCTGCTCCCGGGAGATGAGAGGCTTGCATACAGTGTGGTCGTCGTAGCGCATCATGCTGCTGTGTCCGCCCACCTGGTGGATGAAGGGCTCCAGGAGGACTCCCCGGTCTCCGGCCCGACTTGCGTTCTTGCCATACTGCCCCACTTCCATGGTTTGACAAACACACATTGCGTTGGGGGCCAGTTGCACTCTGAGGGCAGAGGATGCAGCACATGGGCCACGAAAGGAGAGCTAGGCAGAAGGTCCTGGTGAGCTGAAAGCAATGGTCAGAGTCTGTTCAGCTTATTCTTCTTTCCTAAAAGAAAGGAGAGAGGAAAAGAGGGAATCAAAACACCTGGCAAGCTACAACATCCCTGGCGTTCATAGAACATCTGTTCTATGAATAAGAACGGGATTCTGAGGGCGTCTGGCTGGCTCTGTCGGTTGAAAATGCGACTGCTGATCTCAGGGTCATGAGTTTAAGCCCCACACTGGGTGTAGAAATTACTTGAAAAAAATAAAATATTAAAATATTAAAAAAAAAAAAAAGAATGGGATTTTGTTTTGTTCCCTGCTATGTGTTCCCCCAGTAAGTACAATGCTGCCTGGTGCATGAGAGGCAGGTGGCAAGTTTTTCTGAATGCTACAACTTTGGTGTCCTCCATCCATTTTTTTTATGCACAGAAGCCCACATTTTCTTCCTTTCCTAGATATCATATAACCTTCCACATTCCCTAAAAGATTTGATTTTAGAGCTACAATATGTTAACAGTCATCAGAAAGGCAACTATCCCTGTTTACTTCATATTCAAAGATAAGCATTCAGGGAAAAAAACAGAAGGCAACACGAATTCATCTTGTTCAGACTTCTCACTATATCCAGCAATGGTAAGGGTCTCTCGCTGACTCAAGGAAGGGTTTTTGAGAAATCTGGTCACACTAGATTTTCAACTTTTCTGCTGAAGGCCAAGCAGCAGGCAGGGAAAGCCATTCCTTGCTGAGTTGTAGCATCATAAAAAGGGTTTGCTCTTCCCAAGGAAATTTAGGCTTCTGATTTCTTCTACTTTAAATCTACGGCCATCAGTCCAGTGCCCCAGAGCTTCCCTTTCTGTGTAACTCTACACCAACCAGTAGGACAAGGAAATGCCTTTGTACTTAAATACCTACCTTGTAATGTCAATTTTCTCTCAAGAAAGTTAAAGTAATGGGCAACTTCCCTAATACTGAATATAGTTTGAAGTTAGGAATGTAGCAGGCAGGACTACATCTGAAAGATCAAGCCTAAAAAAGAAAAATATTTTTAAGAGCAGGAATATGGCTTTACCTGAAAGAGATAAAACATTATTTTTCTTCCAAACCTCATAATCTATGGGCAAAATAGGCTACTGAAGAACCCTGCTGCAAAACTGCAAAATTTTCTTACTTCAAAGCCGCCCAGGAAGCTCTGTTCTATTTCACGGCTATCAACAAAAATAAATGATTTCCCATTCCCCTAACCAATCAGCACCACTTCAAAGCACACAATACACATTTTTGCTTACCTATCCACTTTCTAGTCGTCCTTCAGGAGAAGGCAACTCCCTTCCCCACAGAGTTTTCCCAGACTCCACTCTCCCAAACATGAGTTGGGTGCGCACACCTCTACAGCTCCCAAGGTACCTTGTGCCAACTATCTCAGCAATATATCACTGTACTGTCCCCTATTTACTTGTTGTCAACACCACCAAACCATTCCCTTGTATTTCCATCTAGGGTCCAAGGCAGTTCCTGGCACACAGGAACTGTTCAAAAATAGGTTAGGTGGCACCTGGGTGGCTCAGTCATTAAGCATCTGCCTTCGGCTCAGGTCATGATCCCAGGGTCCTGGGATCGAGCCCCACATC